CAGCAGAGACACAGCAGAGACACAGCAGAGACACAGCAGAGACACAGCCGAGACCCAGCCGCGCGGCCGGCACAGCGCGCGCGTAAGGCGTGAGCAGCGAGAGGCGTGAGCAGCGAGAGGTGTGAGCAGGCTACCTGATGGAGGTGAAGAAGCTGGCCGGCCCCTTCCTCGTCATCGTCCCTCTCGCCGTCCTCTCAAACTGGCAGCTCGAGCTCGCGCGCTGGCTGCCGTCCGCAACGGCGTGCATCTACAAGGGCGCGCCCGAGGCGCGCGGCATATCTCCCCCTATCTCCCCATTTCCCCATATCTCCCCATATCTCCCCATATCTCGCGCCCGAGGTGCGGCGCGACCTCTTCGAGAAGGAGATGGCCGACGGCAGGCTGCTCGAGGACGGCTCGCCCCCCTTCAACGTGGCCGTGACGACGTGCGGGCTACATCTCCCCATATCTCCCCATATCTCCCCATATCTCCCTTCAACGTGGCCGTGACGACGTGCGGGCTCTTCCTAGACACTTCCTAGACACTTCCTAGACACTTCCTAGACACTTCCTTCAACGTGGCCGTGACGACGTGCGCGCTACACACGCGGCGGGGCCGGAGGGGGGGGGGGGGCAGGCGCGGGCTCACGGCGCGCGCCTGCCACTGCAGGTACGAGCTCATCATGAAGGACAAGCAGCGGCTCAAGAGGTTCGCCTACCAGTACATCATCATCGACGAGGGGCACCGCATGAAGAACGCCGCCTCCAAGCTCTCCGCCACGCTCATGCAGTACGAGAGCGCGCACCGCGTCCTCCTCACCGGCACGCCCCTCCAAAACAACCTGCACGAGCTCTGGGCGCTGCTCAACTTTTTGCTGCCCAAGATCTTCGCCTCGGCCGACTCGTTCGAGACGTGGTTCTCGGCGCCGCTCGCCGAGCGCGCGGGCGGCGCGTCGGCGCAGGAGGAGATGGCGATGAACGAGGAGGAGTCACTGCTCGTGATCAACCGGCTGCACCAGGTATGGGGAGATATGGGGAGATATGGGGAGGAGTCGCTGCTCGTCATCAACCGGCTGCACCAGGCGCTGCATCTCGGCTCTCCCTCGGCTCTCCCTCGGCTCTCCCTCGGCTCTCCCTCGGCTCTCCTTAAACCTCTCCCTCGGCCGTACCTCGGCCATACCTCGGCCATACCTCGGCCGTGCCTCGGCCGTACCTCGGCCATACCTCGGCCATACCTCGGCCATACCTCGGCCATACCTCGGCCGTACCTCGGCCATACCTCGGCCATACCTCGGCCATACCTCGGCCATACCTCGGCCGTGCCTCGGCCGTGCCTCGGCCATACCTCGGCCATACCTCGGCCATACCTCGCTGCCCCGCCCGAGGTGCTGCGCCCCTTTCTGCTGCGGCGGCTCAAGTCGGACGTCGAGGCGCAGCTGCCGGACAAGGCGGAGTACGTGGTCAAGTGCGAGCTGTCGCCGATGCAGAAGCTCATGTACCGCCAGATCCAGGACCAGGGCCTCTGCTCGGTCGGCGCGGCCGGGCAGCTCAAGGTGTCCGGACTCAACAACGTCGAGATGCAGCTGCGCAAGGCCGCCACCCGCCTCCTCCCTTCCGCCCCCTCCCTCCCCGCCCCCGCCGCCTCACCTCCCTCCCCGCCCTCCCCACCCCCCCCCCTAGCTCGCCTCCCCTCGCCGCGGCGCAGGTCTGCAACCACCCATACCTCTTCTTCTCCCCCGAGCAGCTCGACCAGCTCGGCGACGACGCGAACCTGCTCTGGCGCAGCTCGGGCAAGTTCGAGCTCCTCGACCGCATCCTGCCAAAGCTGCAGGCGCTCGGCCACCGCGGGAGGGACGTACGTCGTTCGGAGGAGTCATCACTCAGTCACGAACAGGCGCTCGGCCACCGCGTGCTCATCTTCTCGCAGATGGTGCAGCTGATGGACCTGCTCGAGCTCTGCTTCATATTATATTATATCATATTATATTCTATTATAGGTGCAGCTGATGGACCTGCTCGAGCTCCACTTCATATTAGATTATATTATATTCTATTATATTATAGGTGCAGCTGATGGACCTGCTCGAGCTCTACTTCATATTATACTATATTATATTATATTATATTATATTATAGGTGCAGCTGATGGACCTGCTCGAGCTCTACTTCATATTATACTATATTATATTATATTATATTATATTATAGGTGCAGCTGATGGACCTGCTCGAGCTCTACTTCATATTATATTATATTATATTCTATTATATTATATTATAGGTGCAGCTGATGGACCTGCTCGAGCTCTACTTCATAGTATATTATATTATCTTATATTATATTATAGGTGCAGCTGATGGACCTGCTCGAGCTCTACTTCATAGTATATTATATTATATTATATTATATTACAGGTGCAGCTGATGGACCTGCTCGAGCTCTACTTCATATTCTATTAGCTTATATTATATTATATTATAGGTGCAGCTGATGGACCTGCTCGAGCTCTACTTCAACCTGCGCCACTACAAGCACCTCCGCCTCGACGGCGCCGCGACGCCGCACAGACCCCCCCCCCTCTGCATGTGCTGCATCTTACCATGCTCAACGCCATT